TCCTGCCTGCTGCCCCCAGCCCCTACCTGACACGGATGTGCTGTGGCCATCTGCTGCTCTCCTGCAGGTGACATGATCACGGCCAGAAGGCAGAAGTCCAACTGGAGCCTGCAGGGACAAGAGAAATGGCAGGGGAGCTGTGAGGGAACGCAGCAGTCCCTGTCCCAGCCCAGCCCTCCACAGCCCAGCTGCAGGACGCTGCCTGCCTGGGGGATGGCACAGCAGGTCTTCCACAATGAGGAAGACAATGAGCAAAGCACTGGTAGCACCCTGGCTAAAAGAGATGATCCATCACAAAGCTGTCTCAAACTGTGGGGCTGAAAGAACTGACGGCTGACACTCAGTTCAACAGCTGAGGGCACTTGCACTGTGTGCCTAAGACAAAGCATGGCAAGCAGTCTGTCATCTTACCCCAGAACAGGGAGCAGCCCAAGTGCCCTTGGAGCTCTCCTGCACAGCAGCGGGCTGCACAATGGGATCTCCCCTCAGGTAGGGATGTCTCTCGAGGTCACACCTGCAGAGAGATCCAACACAGCATGACGTCAAGACTCGTTCTTGATACAGATCCTCTGTAAGAGACTCATGGTTACCTTGGAGCTTTGTGAGCTTAGCTCTAAAGTTATATCTTAGAGGGACTGCGCACATACAATTCCTTCCACATAAAGCCTTGACCACGCCAGGGATGAGGATTGGATCCAGCCACTTCCAGGCTCCTTACGTCTGTCGTTTGAAGACTTGAGATAGGAGGGAAACTACTCTGAGCCTTGTGACACAGTGAGAGGGCCTCCTGTAGGTGTCTGTGTAACCCTATCCTCTATGCACTAAATAACTACGTGTATCCAGCCATCTCCAAACTTGTTATGTCATTATCAGGTCACTACAACCTATCCGTATTGTATAAATATATACAGTAACAGAATTACATAGGATGGCCCAGGTTGGAAGGGACCTCAGGGGTCCTGAATCTCCAACCCCTCTACCACAGGCAGGGCCACCAACCTCCACATTTCACACTAGGCCCCATCCAATCTGGCCTTGAACACCTGTAGGGGGATCCACAACCTCTCTGAGCAGCTGTTCCAGCACCTCGCCACTTTCATAGTAAAGAGTTTCCCCCTGACATCCAACCTAAATCTTCCCTCCCTCAACTTAAAACCATTTCCCCTTGTCCTGATGTTATCTCCCCTTTCAAAGAGTTGACACCCCTCCTGTTTGTAGGCTCCCTTTAGGTACTGAAAGGCTGCAGTAAGGTTACCCTGCAGCTTCTTTTCTCCAGGCTGAACAAGCCCAGCTCCCTCAGCCTGTCTTCGTAGTGGAGGTGCTCCAGTCCCCTGATCATCTCTGTGGCTCCTCTGGACCCTCTCCAACAGCTCCCTGTCTTTCGTGTACTGGGGGCTCCAGACCTGGACGCAGTGCTGCAGATGGGGCCTCACGAGCGCAGAGCAGAGAGGGACAATCACCTCCCTGTCCCTGCTGGCCACCCCTCTTCTCATGGAGCCCAGGATATCATTTGCTTTCTGAGCTGTAAGAGAGCTCACTGCTGGTTCACATTCAGTTTTTCATCCTCCAGGACCCTCAGGTCCTTCTCCACAGGGCTGCTCTCAAGGACTGCTCCTTCCAGTCTGTATAAATGCCTGAGATTACTCTGGCCCAAGTGCCAAACCTTGCACTTTGCTGTGTAGAACCTTGTTAGGTTCACCCGGGCCCATCTTTCAAGCCTGTTGAGGTCCCTCTGAATGGCATCCATTCCTTCCATTGTATCAATCGCACACTCAGCTGGGTGTTGTCAGCAAACTTGCTGAGGGTGCATCCAATTCCACTGTCGGTGTCATTGGTAAAGATGTTAAAGATCACCGGTCACAAGACGGACCCCTGGGGGACACCACTCATTATCGGCCTCCAGCAGGACATACCAGCATTAATCACCACCCTCTGTCTGCGGCCTTTCCATCAATTTCTTATCCATTGGGTAGTCCACCCATCAATTCCCCATCCCTCCAATTTGGAGATAAGGATGTCGTAGGGGACCATGTCAAAGGCCTTGCTCAAGTCCAGGTAAATGACATCAGTTGCCTTCCCTCTGTCCACCAGTGCCATCACTCTGAACAGAACAATTAAGCATCATGGATTTATCATTCTCTGTAACAGAGTGACCTGTTCAGAATTCCCCACCGAGACGATTCCCTACTTTTCTTAGCAGCCTTGTGATGGCAACTGGAAACGCTGTGCTCATGCTGCTACTCAGATAGATACTGGGATAATGCCACTGTTGTTAACATGAGGACAGGAAACCTCACCATAGGCACTCAATGCCTGTGTTCAGTGTGCAGTGAGAACAAATTCTAACAACAAAAACAGATCTCTCATCTGTAGTAATGCACGGAAATGAAGCACACGTAAATATATAAGTGGAAGTGAATGGCACTGGGGTAGAACAAGCCTTTCCCACTTGCTATGGTTGATGCAAATGTGAGTGACTGCAGTGTGGATGGGGAGAGACACATCCTGCTCACCCCTCCTTCCCCTCAAGCCCCCTTCCAGGTTCTTCCCTCAGCTCCCTTCTTCAGCCTGGCCCTGCTCACAAGGCCCTGCACAGGAAGACAAAGCACAGCACAACAGGTAACGCTCCGGCTGGAACAGATTAATGGCCACAAATCTGTCTCAAAATGAACTGAAAGAACTGATAGCAAAGCCCTGCTTCAACAGCTGGGGCCCAGCTGAGCACCTTCTGAGCCTCGGGACTCAGCGGGAGGGCCTCCTCTATGTGTGTGCTTAACCCTGCCCTCTATGCAGTAAACAACCACGCGGTTACAACAGCCTTGTGAAGGCACTACTTGAACACTACATTATGACGACATTATATCAATAATATCCATCTCTCATCAGCTCAGCACGCACCCTGCGCTCCCTTCCAGGGCCCGTTCTCAGCAGCGGGCGCCCTTTGCACAACGCAGCCTGGGCTGCGCTTTGCTGACGTGCAGATGTTGCCTGCTGGGTCCCCGAAGGGAAACTGCGGGCTGCCGGGGAAGGGGAGGGGAGTGGAGATTCCTCTCTTGGAAGCTTCACATTCACACACTCCAAAGGAGGCATCGGGGAGTTATAAGCTTACATCAATCCATGCGTGCAGAGCTGCGGAGCGAGGTCACCTCGTGTCTGCCGTAGTCCAGAGGGAGAAACGCAGTCCCAGCTGCGCTGTGTTACACAGAGCCAAGCGGGCAGCAGAGCACGCTGAGCTCCTCTGCTCACTTCCTCGCTGTCCCAGCTCCAACCCCTTCCTGTGCCCCTCGATTTACAACCCGGGCTGCAACACGCCTGGGAACAGTTGCTGCCTGCGTTGCAGCCCGTCTGGCCCAGCAAACCTGCCGTGCTGGTGATGCAGGTTGGCTGCTTTAACAACAGCCATTTGTTTAAGAACCGGTATATAAGCCGGCAAAAGGAATCCTGCCTCGGCGAGAGTAAGCCTCCCGCTGCCGCCCTCGGGCTCGCCAACCCAGCCGGCAGCCGCGTCCGACCCGCAGAGCACGGCACGCACGCAGCCCAGCCCAGCCCGTCCTGCGGCCGCCCCCTGCCCCGCGCCATCACGGCGGCGGCTCCGCCCCGCCCAGCGGCCCGGCCCAGGCAGTCGTTCCAGCCCGACTGAGCCCGGAACTCCTCTTCTCTCGCGGCCGCGGACGGCGGACCCGGCCTTCGCTTGGCTGCGCTGCTCTGTGTCCCCCGCGCGTCGCTCTCCTCTCCAGCACTCAAGGTCTCTCCGAGCGGCGCCGTCGGCGCTGTGTCACCTCCCGGGCCGCTGCTCCCGGCGCATCCCGGGGCGGCGCTCAGCCCTGCGGGCAGCTCTGGGCGGAGACGGAGCCGTCGGTGCCGTCGGTGCCGCTGCCAGGAGAACGGCCGACTCTTCCCAGCACGGCAGGTGAGGCCGAGCGGGGCAGAGCGCGTCACCCTTTTCCTCCCTCACCCCGTGGCACGGCTTTGCTTTCCATTTCCATTTCCATCCGCGCAGTGCAGTGGAGGAAGAGCAGAGGTGGTTCTCCAGCAGGCTGCTCTGCTGGCGGCTGCAGTCTGTGCTTAAGCTGTGTTTGTACAGCCTCCCTGTTTCTCCGGGGGTTGGGATCAGCGTTTGAGCTGCAGGACCGTCCCCAGGGTCACCCATTTCAGACAGGAACGTTTTCCAGGGCAATTTATCGTGGCGCAGTGACTGACAGGCGTTTCTCACCCAGGAACCAGGCATAGGCTGTGGCAGTTTGGCACACAACGTTTTCTTCCATTTCTTCCGGTAATCTTAACTCTTTGCTGCCTGAACTGCATGCTCAGCTTCCCAGAACCCAGTAGGGCTGGCACTGCCATTTGTGCTTTGGTAATTAGGAAAAAGGTGTTGCCAGATATCGTTAAAGACCGACTGGGATGAATATAAGCATTTGTGCTGTCAGAACTTATTCCTAGATCTCCATTTTTCCCATGGCAGGTGGGGCCGATGCCTTCTGGGCTCTCCTTGTTCTGAGTTCAGGCCTTGTCATTTCCGTGCAGGTAGATGGGGGAACTGGGAAGCTGTTTTCCTTTCCATGCTGACCCTGACAGTACAGGAGCTGAAATACTTTCCATCCCTATTACCTCATTTCTGGATTGCTACGATTAAACTGAATTATAATACCAGCAGGCTGATTATGAATGGTGACTCTGGGAATGCCTGTATATAATGCTTTTCCTCTTCTCCAAGATTGATTACTCCACATTAACACATTTGTTTGCGATTCTTTAGCTTTAGTTTCTGTTCTCCATTCCTGTTTACTTCTGTTCTCCTTTCCTTCATACGTAACTTCCAAACCTGGGATTTTGCAGATAACACCTCTCCCCTCCCATCCTTGTATGGCCCCCAATGGCTTTGCCCCTTTGTCACGGATAATCCTTTCTATAATATACACTCCTAATAAGAAGAAGTAGTGTATTTATTGATATAATTCTGATATGCTGTAGTGATTTAGCAGTGACGTAACACGACTAACGATGACTGGATACACTTGGTTATTCCCTGCATAGAGGATAGGGTTACACACACACCTACAGGAGAACTTCCTGTTGAGTCACAAGGTTCAAAGTAGTTTCCCTCCTATCTCAAGTCTTCAAACCACAGATGTAAGGAGCTTGGAAGTGGCTGGATCCAATCCTCATCCCTGGCGTGGTCAAGGCTTTATGTGGAAGGAATTGTATGTGCGCAGTCCCTCTAAGACATAACCTCAGAGAAGCTCTGGTAGCTCCAAAGTAACCATGAGTCTCTTACAGAGGATCTGTATCAAGAACAAGTCTTGGCGTCAAGGTGCAGGTGTGACCTCGAGAGACATCCCTACCTGAGGGGAGATCCCATTGTGCAGCCGCTGCTGTGCAGGAGAGCTCCAAGGGCACTTGGGCTGCTCCCTGTGTTGGGGTAAGATGACAGACTGCTTCCCATGCTTTGTCTTAGGAACACAGTGCAAGTGCCCTCAGCTGTTGAACTGAGTGTCAGCCATCAGTTCTTTCAGCCCCACAGTTTGAGACAGCTTTGTGATGGATCATCTCTTTTAGCCAGGGTGCTACCAGTGCTTTGCTCATTGTCTTCCTCATTGTGGATGACCTGCTGTGTCATCCCCCAGGCAGGCAGTGTCCTGCAGCTGGGCTGTGGAGGGCTGGGCTGGGACAGGGACTGCTGCGTTCCCTCACAGCTCCCCTGCCATTTCTCTTGTCCCTGCAGGCTCCAGTTGGACTTCTGCCTTCCGGCCGTGATCATCTCACCTGCAGGAGAGCAGCAGATGGCCACAGCACATCCGTGTCAGGTAGGGGCTGGGGGCAGCAGGCAGGAGAGGCGGAGGGGCGAGGGATGCGAATGCCGGGGGAGAGGGAGGTGCCCTCAGGCAGCAGGTGTGTGCTGGGGCCAGAGAAGCGGCTGGGACAGGAGTTTGTGTCCTGTGCGAGCTGCTTCCCTGGGCCTTGGCTGTTCCCAGCAAGGAGCCTCTTTGCTTGCAGGAGCCCGTGAGCTTTGCGCAGGTGGCCGTGTATTTCAGCAGGGAGGAGTGGGCGCTGCTGGACCCTGCGCAGCGAGCGCTCTACCGGGACGTGATGCTGGAGACGTACCAGTGCGTGGCCTCGCTGGGTGAGGGCTTTGCTGCCTTTCCTCCTCGTTAGGGCACCTTTGGCTGTGCAGAATGAGCCTCTGCAGGCCAGGCCTGGAATAGTCACCATGCAGTTACATATTGACTAACATCACAATAAGAGCAATAAAACAAACAGAAGCAAGCATGAGTTTCAGGAGAGTTTAGTGTGCTCTGCAATCTGATAAAAACCCCTGAGTCAGTGCTGGCAAGCAGGCATCAGCCAGGAGGGGGAGAACCAGCTCCCTGCAAACAGCCTTGTGTTGCTGTGTTACGTGATGTCACCAGCTCCAGAATCCAGACAAGTCCCTTGTTTCTCCTATAGTACTTATGATTTTCTGTTCAGTTCCCATGAAACTTTACAATGCCTTGAGGATTTATCAACTTGCAGCAAAAGAAACACACCGTTCTAAAAGAAAATATAAAGAAAGTACCCCCTGCATAATTTTTTTGTGTTGTACAGGCATGCTAGGCCCCAAAGGAAGCTGGTATGTGTTGGCCCAGTGTCTTTTAGGCCTTAATTGTGGTTTCATTGTGGGAAGGTACACAGAGTGGAGTTGTTGGACAAGCAGCTGTGCCAGAATCATTGAAATGCTCTCATCTCCCTTGTTTCTGTCATTGAAGCTCCACTTCCAGCCCCCAAACCCATGCTGATCTCCCTGCTTGAAGGAGGGGAAGACCCTTGGGTCCCAGATGTGTGTAGCCCTGAGGCCGTGCCGGGAGACCTCAGCCCAGGTGAGGTGGTGGAGTGATGGGAGGAGGCTGGGGCTAGAAAAGCCATCTGTGATGGGGGAATATTTGGGGCACTGTGTGCTATTTCTGGATTTCCTTTGTCATCCAGGAGAGGATGAGATCACATATATAGTGGAAGATCTGCAGGAAAGTGGTATGGGCGAAAGGCAGCAGGGTAGCACCTCCGAGGATGAAATTGAAGGAGATGTCCACATGGGCTTTGAGCAAGCAGAGCACTACAAGGAGCCACTGGGAAAGCATCTGGAAGAGACACCAAGGAACCTGCTGCACTTCAGCACAGGTCAAAAGCAGCCTGAAGACCACGGGAGCAAGAATGCGTGTCAGAAGAAAAAGCAGAATCCATGCACTGAGTGTGGGAAAAGCTTCAAAAGGTATTCCAACCTTGTTAATCACCAGCGCATACACTCTGGGAAGTGCCGGTTGAAATGCTCTGATTGTGGAAAGAGCTACAAATGGAGATCTGAACTCATCAAGCACCAGCGTGTGCACACAGGAGAGAGACCCTATACGTGTCCTGAGTGTGAGAAAAGCTTCATGAGCAGAACTGGATTGAAGTACCACCAGCGCATCCACACAAAAGAACGATCCTTTAATTGCTCTCAGTGTGGAAAGAGCTTTCAAAGCAGTTCCAACCTCTTTCGCCACCAGCGTATGCATACAGAAGAGAGACCCTATAATTGTACTGAGTGTGAGAAGAGTTTCAAAATACGTTCCCACCTTATCCGCCACCAGCGCATCCACACGGGAGAGAGACCCTACAAGTGCTCTGACTGTGGGAAAAGCTTCAAAAGCAGTTCTGACCTCATTGTCCACCAGCGCATCCACACTGGAGAGAGGCCCTACAAGTGTGCTGAGTGTGGGAAAAGCTACAAAAGCAATGGTGATCTGAAGTATCATGAGCGCAGCCATACAGGAGAGAGACCTTATAAGTGCCCTCAGTGCGGCAAGTGCTTCAAAAACAGTTCCCACCTCAACCGCCACCAGCAGACCCACACGGGAGCGTGTAATGCTTTTATGATTTTTCTGATCGGTATTCCACACTATAACATTGTTCAGTGTACTGGAAGTTAAGTGCTAACTCTCAAGCTGTGTGAATTGTCAATAGATCCGGGTACCTGGTCTCTGAAGGGAAGAATGAACTACAACTCGCAGAAGCCTTCATTATTCGGTTTTCATTTTCTGGTTGGTGGGAAAGATAAGACTGTGAGTCACAAGACTGCCTCTTTGCTTTCTGTGCTGCTGTCCATCTCGCCTACTGCATTAGAGTAAGGACTTTGGTTTCAGAAAATCATTTTATTTATTAGCTTCAATTCCAGCTATACTGTATTATCTCGCGTCTCGCTATTGTATATAATAAATTAGTTTCTTTCCCCTTAGCTCGTTGTAATTCTATTTCTTTTCATCTAAGCCCATCTGTCTGCCATTTTCCCTTCACTCCCCTTTCCCAGGTAAGGGAGCTGTAACACGTGCCTGACTCAGAAAAGATAGACCTGTGCTGGGGCACTTTGCAGTCTCCCACAGCAGTTGCAGGATGGATAAGGGATGTGGCAAAAGAAAATGGATTTAGTTGTGAAAAGGGAAGGCTATTGCTTGCGTGGTGTTAGGCCAGAAAGGGACACAACAGTGAAGGAAAGGGGGTACCTCAACTACTCCACGCTCAGATCCAGCAAACATCCCCCCACCTGCACATTTCTTCCCCTTCACCTACTGTGGAGAGAGTGCAAAGCCCAGAGAACAAAGAGAAGTGCCCAGAATGAACGGCCAAGAAGGGACCGGTCAGCAGGTGAGCAGTAGTAGCCCGTACATATTTATTTATATTTAAAAATATACACCAAGTAGTGCTTAAGGAAGGTGGTGAATTTGTTTTCTTACCAATGGAAAAGAGGAGAACAGCCGACTTCCCAGCAGATCAGGTGAGGCCGAGCAGGGCAGAGCGCATCACCCTTTCCTCCCTCACCCCGCGGCAGCGTGGGCACCGCTTTGCTTTCCATTTCCATCCCGTGCAGTGCAGTGGAGGAAGAGCAGAGGATCGTCTCGGCACTGCCTTACCTGCAGGCTGTGCGCCATTCCTGCTGTACAGAACATCAGCAGAGGTGGTTCTCCAGCAGGCTGCTCTGCTGGCAGCTGCAATCTGGGCTTAGGCTCATTGTGTTTGTGTGTCATGGGCTGCATTCAGTGTTCTTCAGTGAACCAGGTATTTTTCTGCACCTCCTGTTGAATGGCCATACCATTCTCTAACAATTTTTCTGCAGCTCTTTCCTGGGTAGTGGTCCCCTTTAGGCATACTTCCAGTCAATCAGAAGATCCCCCAGTTGGTACAGGCTGTCCTTGTTGTATTTCCTCAACTTTCTTCACCCCTCAGATCTTCATTAAAACTTCCTTTTCCCATTTCTCATGTATCACTGTTCAGTTTCTTTAACTGCAGCTAAATCGGACATCAGAACTTCCACCCTGTGCAGCTGCAGAGGTGCAGTATTGCTGTATGTTGGTCATTTTTGATTCATGGAGAACTGTGGAATCATAGAATCCTAAGAGTTGGAAGGGGCCACTGAGGGCCATCTAGTCCAACTCCCTGCAGTGCACAGGGACACCACGGCTCCATCAGGTTGCCCAGGGCCTGATCCAGTTTCTCTTTGAAAGTCTCCAGGGATGGGGCATCAATCACAACACTGAGTAACCTCTTCCTGTGCCTTGCCACCCTCACTATAAAAGATTTTTTGCTTATTCCTAACCTGAATCTCCCCTCCGTGAGCTTGAAGCCATTTCCCCTTGTTCTATCACCACAGACCCTGCTGGAGAGTCTGTCCCTTCTTTCCTGTAGCTCCCCTTTAGGTACTGAAAGGCCACTCTCAGGTCATCTCACAGCCTTCTCTTCTCCAGGCTGCACAGCCCCAGCTCTCTCAGTCTGGCCTCAAAGGAGAGGTGTTCCATTCTGTGAATCATTTTTGTGGCCCTTCTGTGGACGCAGCTCCACATCCTTCCTGAACAGAGGGTTCCACATCTGGGCACAGTACTCCAGGTGTGTCCTCATCACCGCAGAGTAGAGGTGCAGGATCACTTCCCTCACCCTCCTGGCCATGCTTCTTTTGATGCAGCCCAGGATACAGCTGGCTTTTTGGGCTGCAAGAGCACGTTGCTGGCTCATGTCCACTTTGCTATCCACCAGTACCCCCAGGTCCTTTTCAGAAGGGCTGCTCTCAATCCTTTAATCCCCCTTGTGTTAGTAATGAGGGCTGCCTCAACCCAGGTGCATGACCTTGCACTTGAGTTGCTGAACCTCATCAGGTTCACCTGGGCCCACTGCTCAAGTCTGTCTTGGTCCCTCTGGAAGCCATCCTGTCCCTCTGATGCGTCACTGCACACCACAGCATGGTTCCACCAGCAAACTTGCTGAGGGGGCACTTGACCCCTCTGTTAATGTCACTGAGGAAGATATTAAAGAATATCAGCCCCAGCACCGCATCCCATGGGACACCACTCATCACTGGTCTCCATCCAGACGTTGAGCCAGTGACCACCACTCTCTCAGGATTTGATCCTGCAACCAGTTCTTCATCCATAGAACTGTCTGCCCATGAAATCCATATCTCTTCAATTTGGAGAGAAGGAAGTTTTGGGGTACTGTATCAGAGGCCTTGCTGAAGTACAAATAGGTGACACTGGTAGCTCTTCCCTTGTCCATTGATGCAATGACACCATCATAGAAGGCTGCTATTTTGGTCATACAGGATTTGCCCTTAGTGAAGCCATGCTGGTTCTCCCATATCACCTCCCTGCTTTCCATGTGCCTTAGTATTGCTTCCAGGAGGATCTGCTTCATGATCTTCCCTGGCACAGAGGTGACACCAATAGGTCAGTAGACCAAGGTAGTCTTTTTTTGCCCCTCTTAAAAATAGGTATGATGTTTCCTTTTTTCCAGTCATCAGGGACTTACAGCTGATTGCTACAACTTTTGTAATTTCACAGAGAGTGGCTTGGCAACCACATCAGCCAATTCCCTCAGGACTCTGGGATGCATTTCATCAGGACCCATAGACTTCTGGACGTTCAGGTTCCTCAGGTGGTCACGAATCTGATCTTTGCTTACAGTGGGAGGGACGTTGCTTCCCGGATCCCCTCCTACCAAACCAAATGTCCGAGGGCTGTGCAGTGAGCAGTTACAGAGAAGTCTGAGGAAAAAAAGTTGTTGAGTACCTCTGCTGCCTTCTTGTTGTTACCAGCTTGCCTGTGCCTCTCACTAGGTTGGGTA